GCACTCCTTACATTTACATCAATTTTGTTCCATTGGTTTTATGTGTCACATAGAATCTCTTGTTTAGCATCCCGGCTTCTTTTCTTTTCGAATTTGTTACCTCATTTTTTTTCCACTGCTTTTTTCAATCACTATCCTTTATCTCCGTTCGACAATGTGATCCGATGGTTTTTGTGAATGCCTTAAGGAGGGCTAGACCTCGAAATGAATATGTTATGAAGCATCTCTACATTAATGAGTTGAACGGAAAACGAGTCGAAAGGAATACATCCTCAAATGGTTGTGTGAGCAACAAATCTCTTTCGAGGTTGTACTCTGGCATCGCGTTAAATGCGTTCAGAACAAGATGCTTACACCTATCAGTGGAATCATTTATTGACTTTGTAAAAAAGTGAAAATGTTTATGATATAGCAGCATTGTCTCATTACAATCATATGTCACAAAAAACAAACTCAGCGTATAGTCATTCATAATAAAACGTCAGTTCATATATTCCATGCAATGCATCCTTTGAATGAACTGAGTGTTGTATAATCCTACTGAATATACAGCTGGATGGATGTAATTTCGACTTTTTGAGCATCTAGCTGGATGAATAAACGTCGGACTGTCTTCTTCTCACTAAATCATCACAAACTGTATCCAATCTTACGGTTTCAAGCCAGCGTCGGTTGCTTGGCGAAGTCTTCTAAGCCCAGCTATTGTAGCTTAGATGGCATCGTCTATCATGGAATAGTTACGATTAATAGAATACGTCGAACTGCCAATCAGCAAATATCATAAGAATAACAAGAGAATTGTTTCGCAAATGATATGGTGGAGTGGGGGTATATTATGGAGAAAATCACTTATTCGAAGTGACATTGGTGATAGAAATCTTTTATGATTGGAAACCCAATGTCTTGTGTAAATTTTTTGCGTTCGTTTCCTGTGTACTCGTTGATAAATGAGAAAAGGTATACTCGCTAAACAGCTCTTCCTTGTTATCCGCCTCATGACTAGCTAGTTCGCTTTCGATAAATGAAATTTTAAATGAAGGAGATTATTGGATCGAACAATTCAGACGAGAATAAGGCCACAAAAGATTAGCAGTGCGGTGATTAGAATAGATGATGGATTGAGTGAAACACTTCGGCAAACTCCATAACGATTGCACTTCTTGCCACCCGCACAATCCAAGCCCACTCGCCAAATTGGTCGTTTATGACTGGTCGCTACATTGAACCTTCGATATGCATTCTGACAACGCCTTGATGTTGGCTTCTGAAAGTAAATTTTCCCATGTTTCTGTGAGAACGAAGTTAGCATGAACTCGCAAATATCAACCAACTAACGATATTGAAATCATAACAGCACAGTTGACATCTATCATCTGAAGCGAATCCCGTATCGGGGTCAATAGCTGGACAATCGCAAACCATTAAATGAGCACCAAAACGAGCACACGGATTTTCACAAACGTCATCCACGCAAATCTTTTCCATCCTTAAAATCATTCTTTACTCATTCTACCGTATTCAGTTCGTAACGTGTGATCACTTATTTTGATCCGTATTTCTTAAGTTATCTCCATCTCACCATTTAGACTAAGATGTCACTTCTGTCTTATCATCATATCTGAGGAGGTGATGGTGATAACAAATACTTTCGGTGATTAATCATGTTCTGAGGATGGAATACTTTANGAATTATCACCGGATAATTGTGTCGTTAATAATCCTTTGTTCTTGATGCGAACAATAAATGACAGCATCGACACAGTTTTTATTTGTTTGTTTTGTGTGTCCAATTGTAAGCGTCAGATTTGAGCAGGAAATAAACTGTATTCACTGACGATCAGATCGTTTCTTGGGTTGACTCTGAATGCTTGTGCGTCTTGCAAGATGAATAACCGTTGAATGATTTGCTCCTACATGTTAGTACACTGCGCGCTTCTTGAGTAATCTGCATTATGAGTGAGTGAAATTTTTTGCTGTTGATCATTGCGGTTTTTTGATAATGCACATGCTTCATTCATTGTGTCATTTATGTGCATCGTCAACATTACAGTCCCATCCCAGTTATTCTTTTCATCCCATCCGGGTTTTAGTTGGGGACGTCACAGTTAATGTAGCATTCTCGTGAATGGCTTCAATGAATGTCATTTCGTATATACTGCATAATTCACAAACTAATTACATCTTAATTGAATATGCATTCAAAAATCGGCATGAATAAAGAAGCCTTTTAGCATTTTAGCAGTCCGATGAAGCTTCAACTAAATGAGAATGATTATGTTAATGCGATGTGAAGTGAATGAAAATTAGTTGTTGACTTCATCTATCAATTACATCCTTCGCTGACCACACCTCTTCGTTCTTTAACTAATCCCCGTTTATTTCCATGTATTTGCTCACATATCTGTACGGCATTATCGTTGAAATGTTATGCTGTTTGAAATGCATTATCTTCTGAAGAACAAATAAAGCAAGGATGATAAAGAAAAGATAAAATTTACTTCCGATCGCAGTACGATCCTTGTGGTTTATCGTGACAAATACTATTCGAGCATTTGCCTTGAATACATAATCTAGCTGGATCCATGTCGTCGCAAGCTAATCCCTCCAACTCGGCACCGTTCTGTCGGCACCTTGTACACGCCTCACGCTCCCAGCGTTCGCCATTACTCCTTAACAAAACTTATGCATATTGATGTCTGAATTCTTGATCAATAAAGACGAGAGCCCAACATTCCAATCTTCGCGAAATTTCTACTCTAAAAGCACGTCTGGAGTATGAATCACATGGAGTATGAATCATTTTACACCGACGCGAATCATCCATTCCGAAAATCTCTTCATTTCAGTGTTTCCTTATCGATTCTGAAGCATTATATTCTTGATGAAATTCGTTTGCTGCAATTCCCTCGTGCGATAAGTATATGTCAATAGTATGGTGTGGAATGAACCTGAGAATATTATGCTGATGTGCGGGTAAGCATCGCGTATGTGAATTACCACAGCACAAATAACAGAAGTTGTCCTCTTCCATATCGCACTCGCATTCTTTCATACCACGAATTGAACACACCGACACACAACTGAAGCATCAGTTTCTTATAAGTAACTTTTTCGAGATAGAGCATATATGTGTAAAAATTGTGAAAATGTATTGTTTCAACTTTTGCAAACAATTATATAAAATTTAGAATCGTTTTTGTTTGAAAGAAGGATCATAGTGAGATATATTATCTGTGAGACAGAAATGCATCAAAGTAAGTTGGATATCAAACAATATTCTAAACTTCTCCCTTTTTCGATGCGAACGGGAAAAATATGAGAAATATGATAGGCCTCATAAAGATGAACTTTTATGTACATCATCAAACGGCAATAAATTATTCTGATTGAATGGCTGTTACACGCTTGTATTGATAAATAAGAGCATCAATATTATTACGGAACATTCGCTTCTATTGAAACGAAACTCATTGATGCATGGTTTTTGTTCAGATCATTATACCAGTATAAAACCGCATTGAAGGAATCAAATGAATGCCACATAAAAGCGATTCGAACAGCTTTCGAAAGCCACATTTTTAGTGAAGCGTGTATGTCTGTTGATAGATTTGTCTTCAATGAATAAGTACGATAGGCTGGGATTGTGCTTTTTTGCTGTTCTCATTGAAGCAGCTTCATTTGATGCGTATCGAAAAACCATCTCATCACCTCATCAAACAACAACTGACATTATTTATTTGGACATAACGAATGTTCATGGCTAAGTACGCAGAAGACAGCCCATTATTCCATTCTTCGATATTATCTCTTTCGATTGAGAAGAAATTTTGAGGAATGCATAAATATTTTTATTGTCATCACAACATAGTGTCACTCAGAAACACAATAGCATTGTATTTGTGAGAATTATCACGTTTAAGATGTGTCCTCCTATCTCCGCGAAAACAACTTTTCTGCTTTCATTTGGTAACTGCATAGCGCTATCTCAACAAAAAAGCACAAAGCATTTTCGTACAGCTGCTTGGAAATGTTATACCACGAATTTTAACATTTCATCACATCATTCCATGTTCCTATTTTCTGTTAACCTTAACTCACTGAAGTTATGCAAGAATTTGTAACAAAACTAGAATTTCCTTACGATTAGTTAAAATTTTCAGTTCCGATTCCTGAGAACGGAAAATAACTTAATTTCGAAATAATTGTCCTGAAAATGTCTCTTAATCACATTACTGATATGTGCCGCTTAGAATATGACGATACGTCCGAGATGGTTGGCAACATTGACAGTCCATCAGAAATTTCTGCAATAGATAGTGCCTGAATTCATCTCTAGTTACTCATAGACTTCTCCTTCGACTTGGACAGCCCAGCATGCAACAAATGCGAGTGATTTCCACAGACTTCTTGAATTTAAATTTGAATTTTTTTCAAAATCATCTCAAAAATTTTCAGCCGTTCTTTTCCAGCGATTCTTCAGTGCTATGATTTTCTGGGGATTTTGTTAAGGACTCATGCTGGGAAAATGCGTTGTTATCTTACAATACGCTTATATAAGCTTTTCTTTCTTTTCATCAAGCATACCGCCATTGAATGCTTATCCTGCTATTGAAACTAAAATAATTCAGTCGGACATAATTCAAAAATTGTCCAGATGATTTGAAGCAATACTGAGATAATTGTTGTAACCAACTGGTTAGATGAATGGGCCTTCCGAAGGAGCGTCATCGATTTTTTGTGAGTTCAATTGTTATAATGGTGCGCAATTAAATATTCGCTACAAACTAATCAATGTTCTTAGAGCTGCAGTGTTGAAGCGTTATGTCTGAAGAGAAATACTCGAGCCCATTAATGAAACTTCTGGAGTTGGTTCGGTAATGAGGCCAAAAACAGGGCGTTTGTTTACTGCTGAAAGTAGCAATGCTGCTATTGCAAAGTGCCGTGCGGGATTGATTCGGTAGACAGATGGCTCGGCTCTTCTCCTGTCCACAGTGATGAATTTGGAACAAGGAATATTCAAAAAACACGATACATATTGTCAAATTCGGTGGGAGAAAAGTTGGATAGGAAGATAGAATTGTGAGTCCTTCAAAGTACAGTTCAGAATGTGTGAATCGAATTTGTTAGGAACATGGACGGCTGGTAATTCATCTGGTTTATGTCAGATAATTGAAATATGATTGGTAATGCGTCAAAAAATTGCAACGAAAAACTAAGTTGACATGTGTGTGTTTTATGGCAGAACGCTGCCTGGATATTCATAAGTTACAAAGAATAAAGCAGTTACTCATCGATGCCTACCATGTTTGATCATTATTCTCTCACTCCAAAGCCAATCATCTAAATAACTGATAGAATTGATAGATTGCAATGAGGGATTAAGAGGAGTATAGTTGGAGATTGCTGAGCACTGACGATAGCCGGAAGACGTAGATGATTGATAGCTTTGTGGTAATATTATCGCTGTTTTGTTCATTTGGTTTGATTTATTCGTTCCTCTTTAAATGCTGATTGACTTGTCATTTAGCAAACAAATAGCTTCATTTGTACAGCTGATAGTAATTAGTCAACTGACTTTTGTTTCGCTTTTTTTTAANCTGAGAGGCTGTGATAATTAATTTTCATAATTCAACTGCTGACATCTCTTCTCACTTCGGCACTGAAGATTATCACTCAATCACAATCGCTCACCAATATAAAAGGATTTTATGGGGAGAAAATGCACAGTTCATTCAAAAGAATGCTTCATGAAATTTTCAAATACTGATTTCATTTGTCACTCCCGTCGTTGCTTTTGGGAGCAGGAATCGTTATGAAGCTCAGTAAAACAGCTGAATTGCACCATAATTTCTATTGCTCTTCAGTCAGTTATAAGTGATTCTTCGAAAGCAAAATCTCTCGTCAATTATATAAACCACTCCAAAACGCGATGCATTCAAGTTAAAATCTTCCTAAGATGGCTTCGAACTGACTTAAGATCTGAATGCATAATATCTTCCGATTAGTGCTCTCTTCACTGATGAATTTGCAGCTAGTTGACAAATTTATGGGGAAGCTATCATGATCAATCTGAAAATAACAACCAAATCAATTTGCTTGTTATTTTCAGCTCATCATGAAAAAAATTCACTCTTTGTGTGCAACTATAGCCTTTAAAAAGATTCAGTCGCAGATCAGAATGCTTTAAGCAACTGTTTCATTAATCGGTGATACTACTCTGTTTCATTTTTGTAACTGAACGCAAGCTATCGATAAATGGATGCAAATTTAAGGCGATATTACTTCAGTGGCTTAATTTCAGTTACTCTAAACAGTCAGTTAATTCAGTTTGAGTGGTTGGCATTCGAAATAATTGTATAGGGACAAAAGGGAATGAAACACAACTCAGGAACTGCACTTGCGAATATTTTGTACAATTTTCCAGTATCTGGGATGATAATATTGTAATCGAAAAATACTCTGATGCAGAGGTATCGGTCAACGAACTAAACCGTTTCTGAAACCAGTTAACGACTGCAAATTATTCCAGATCGAAAAAATTCTCTCATGCTAATTGAACAGCGATGTTGAAAACTCCATGAACGTTAACAAAATATGAATGAATGATGTGAATATGTAAAGGCGGAATTTTTTTTATACGGATTCTCAATTTCATCGGATATTCATTTGGGTATTGAAGAAGATAAGGATGGATGCACGTTAAGTGTTGTGGTGAAATTCAATAAAAATGCCGTAAATTGGTTGTTTGGTTTGGTTCGTTGTCCTGAATTCTTAAAATTTATAACAACTATCGGCATCGGTTCACCACACAAAGACCACGGCCAATTGATCACACACTCGAAAA